CTCATTGGCGTGGCGTGCCTAATTGATTCCGCGCGCCAGGGTTCTGGGTTCCGTGGGTTGCTTCGGTCTTTGTTCTTCTCCATCATCTCGACGGCAGCCGCCAAGGCCAAGGGGCGGGCGCTCCGTGCCTCAGTCGCTTTTTTTTTTGCTTTCTCTTATGTAGTTTCTACTCTGTGCCTGTGACTGTGCTGCTATCAAGGAGGGGTCGCCCAAGGGGCGACCCCGGTTTCTTGTAAAAATAAATGGCAATTATTGCCGACCCACAAAAGTAGGAGTATGCCATATTGCTGAAGAACTTAGTAGTCGTACAACATGAACATACAGCGCCGCATTGTCCGCGACTACGACTAGCACTAGAACATCATCCACCACGAAGCTCAACTTATCTTATCATGCTCAAGGCTGAAGGACCTGGACCTCAAATGCTTCGAATTCATTGCAAGCCCGTAAGCTTCGGTGCTGTTTCTACACAATGCTGCTTTTGCATAGAAACAAGTATTGAATTAAGTTAATTTGGTTCAATGCAGAATTCGAGCTTCAAAACTAAAAACGGAGACTCTTCCCTACTGTCTCTTGAAAAATTTGTTGAACTAGCCCAACGCTTGGCGCGTCACACCAAGCCTTCCGCGCGACTTCTGCTTGCTCGTTACCAATATCCTGCTGTATCTTGTATTTTTTCAGGTAGAAGTCAAACACAAAAGAATGACAGAAATTCTGATATGCCTCGAGCAGCGACAGTCTTCCATTCCCCACCTGCTTTGCCTGTGCTATGCGTTCAGTATTCCACAGCAAAAGCAACGACGCCGGAGCAACAGCTGCGACAAGTTGCAAGCCTTCCGCATTTGGGCCGCTCGACCTATCCTGCCCAACCCATGGACCCGCGATATTGTTACAATAATGCGATTGCAGAGCTGAGCTTTGTCGGTGCGGTCTTAGTGTTGGGCGTGGTTTTGATGGGAGGGTCTTGCGGGTGTACTATTTAGTATGAATGCCATTCAGCTAGGCATAAGCTGTGAAACGGAGAGCACAGTAATAGAGCATGAGAGAACTACTTTACATTCATTAAGTACTCCGAAGTAAGAGACGTGTGCGGAAATGCTTATGATCCAGGATCATCAACCAATAAATGCAATGTTTCTATCCTGGTTAGCCTTAAAAGCTCCTCCAGATTGAACGACCCCGTAGTATCCTGCTTAAACATCCACGAACCTCCGCTATTTGCCACCAGATCGTGTGCTTGCCAGATACTGCAGACGGAGACCCGACTATTTGCAGCTGGACTCCGCATCGGCCCCCGCGTTTTGTCGCATTCGTGGCGGAGTTCGTCTACATCTGTTCTGGCGTAATGACAGAAGGTGGACTCCGTCTCCGGGTTTGCGTTCCGATTCCACGGTTTGGACGAGGCGTATTGATTTGGACATGTCGTAGCGGCGATGCGAGTGAGCTTGGATTCACTTGTCTCGATCAGACCAGCCAGCTGGCTTCGCTTTTCCTCGACGCGAGCGAAGTAACGGCTACCGCTCTCCGACTCTAACAAAAAATGATAACCAAGTTTACGATCACTTTTGAAATATGGATCTCTTGAAATCTCGTCTTGTACTTTCTCGATTTCTGTATTCAGCGTGCCAAACCCTTCACAGACCTCATGGCCCGCTAAGATGACGTCGTGCACCGCATTCGCCAATTTAAATACTTCCTCGACCTTCTTCTCCGTCCCCGGAGCATCTTTTTTATCCGGACTGGTGCCCAATTCGTTCATCCAGCCACGCTCTTCTAGCCGTTGGACTTGTTTCGCAAGCGCCGAATCAATGAAAGCTGGGCATTCTACAGACAAAGAAACACTGCAAACGGCCAATTACATATCTTACACACGGGAAGGATGAAAAAAAGACGCGCAGACCACATATCTTATTCTTATCACAAAAGACTGTCGCCAGTATGAAGAAGAGCGACAGAGGCCAGCCCTTGAGTCGAATTAATATTCAACTTCAAGCCGATGATGGTGGTGCATGGCGATGATATACGCAGACCAACAGACGGAAGCAAAACAATAAGAGCAAACGCACGACGCTAAGATAAGTCGCAGCGCTAACCAAGGGCAGCAGGGTACCGGCGAGAGCATACAACTCGAATATGATAAAAGAAGCGAAAAGCAGCACCATCGAGGAGGGCTGACCGTATGGACCTAATCGAAAAGAGAAGAGCGAGACAGATGACATCGCTTAGAATTGTCTACCTGGTGAAAGATCGGAGCGGCAGACACTCGTGTCACGAAGGGCAGAGAGAGATGGCAGAAACAGAGGGCGACAGCTTTACAAGGCAGATGACGTGGGAGCGACAACCGAGCCGGCGTCGCGTCAGAGGGTGGCGTTGTTGCGCAGGGGGCACAACGCTAAGGCGCGGAGTGGTTTCTTTTCCGTAAGAACTCACACCAGCTACCTTGTGGCGCGTGGTTCTCTGTCACCTCAGCAGTCAGCACAGTCTCGCCGTTTTTTACCCTTTTACGATAAAGCCAGAGGCTTCGCATCTGGTTGGCCGAACAAGGCCGGCGCAGCTGCTGACGTTCAGCTCTTTCGAATAGTCCAGGCCAGCTCTTGCGCTGGTCCTGGTGCCCCCTGTGTATTCCATGCTATGCGGTTTCGTTTTTTACTGTCAAGCTTCAGCGCCCTGATTGGCTGCGAAGTAACTCCCCAGGGCCCCAAGAGTCAGAAGTCGCTGCCCGTGGCCCCCGACGCCCCATGTCAGTCGAGGGGGCTGCAGGCAGATGGAGTAGGTAAGGCCATTGCAGGCACCAGGCGACAGGCGTCTGCGGCCTCAGGTGGCTGCGCTTTCCATTGTGTGGCTTTTCAGATCTTCCTCCAGGAGTCTGGCCCGCGTGGATTAACAAACCTCGCACGCTGCGCGCGAGGGCGCCGCGAGTCGCCGCGTACTCATGTCGGGAAGAGATGCCCGCGATGTTGAGGCGCCCGCGTACTGACATAGCGGCAGAGGGTACGCTGCTCCGCGGTGGCCACTCGAAGCGTGGCGGTGATGACGATGCTCATCCCCAAGACCTCCGCGCGACGCCAGTCGCCTCGAAATGTATGTGGCAAAACTTGGCAAAGAGTGCCAAAATATGCCAAAAAAAACAGCGACGCGCGGCCTCATGCTTCGCCTTCGCCATTTAATTTTTGACATTTTTGGGCAGCGCAGAAGTCAACTCTTAACACTTTTTGCCATTATTTTGCAAAAAATGGCACACAAGCAGCGACGCGCGGCCCCATGCTTCGCCATTATTTTTGCGCGTTTTATTTATTTTGACACTTTTGGGCAGCGCACATGTCAACTCCTGGCAGTGGCACTTTCTGTCTGAGACATCACTCGACGCCGCACATCGAGGCCATCTTTAGCTAGGCGACCCGATTCCGCGCCGTGCCATTTTCGCCCGCGCGAATAGCTGCGCCACATTGCCGACGCGGCTGGTGCGAAGTACGTAGGTCGCCGGGCCGGGCCCACATGTCAATGGCCATGCGCGTTGCCATTGCCTCGAGCGGTTCGGCGCGTGCGGTGTTGCCCACGACCTTCCCAAACAAAAAAACTAACCGCCCCCCCGTCAAACTCAAAGACAACACAGCACCAAGAGAAAGCACAGCCACCAGATTTCGCTTTCGAGGTCGCACCTTAAGAGCAACGGCCCGCGAGAAAAAAAGGCCAGCAGACCTCCTTCGCTTCTTCAGAAAGGCCGCAATTTTTGACATCGAAAAAGCAAACAACTTCCCACAACCAGCAAAGGGCGCAACTTTTGACATCGAAAAAAGACAACCTAGCACAACCAGCAAAAAGCGCAACTTTTGACATCGAAAAAAGGCAACTCTGTCTACACAATCAGCAAAAGGCGCAACTCTTGACACCAAGCAAACAAACTCGCACAACCAACACAGGCGCCTACTTGTTCGCTCATCAGCAGAGCCAGCTTTTCCCAATGAATCAACACAACACAAAAAGACAAAGACAAGCAGGGAGCTGCTCCCAGGGGTCAACGAAGAGCGCGCGCTGAGAGAGTGAGGGGACCTCGCTGGACACGAGGGGGCACAAGCCTCGCTCCCTCTCTCTCTCTCACTGACTCAGGCACCCTCACGCCCGCGACCACTCTGCTCTCTCTCTGCCCTCCCTCACGCTCTCAGAGAGGCAGGCGATCGTCGCTGGGTCTATACTATCCCCCGCGTGCCACTCATCAGCCAAACAACCAGCCACCAAGCCCGTCGGCCCGACACCACCGAGGAAGCGTCCAGGCTGATAACCTAAAACCGCACGCATTTCCCTAGGCGCATAAGGCACACCTGCGCCATAAACGGATAGACTCTTACTGCTTTGCTTCTTTTTAGAGCGAGGAAATAGCAACAAGCTGCAACTAGGTAACGCACTGGCTTACTACTCACGACGAAATTAGATAAAGGGACCGACCGAAAACAGCAAGAGTAGAGGGCGCTGCGCTTTGTATTCGAGGCAGGTGCACGCAAGGCAGGGAGGACTCCCACTCCGCACTATCTAACTACGCCCCCGCGCACACCTCAAAGACCACAACTTTCCAAGGGTTGCGCCCTTTGCGGTGTACGTAGTGGGGACTATTCACTAAGTAAGCACTTCGCAAAAGTTGCGCCTTTTGAGATGTACGCACTACGCAGACGCAGTGAGGACTCTCCGCTAAGTACTCACTACGCACACACTAAGCACACACAGGGGGCGCGCTGCTTGTTTCCAAAAAAATGAGTTTTCGTGCTTCGTGGAGTAGCACCTAATTTCGGCGGAAAAACTTCAGTCATATCAACCGAAGAGCTTTTACCTTCAAACGTCGGAAACTAGAACCGCCCAGCCGAAACCAGGCCAACAAGGTCCGAATGGGCATGGCAGCGACCCCATGGACAGCGCTGCACACCCTAACAAGACGCCAGGGCTGCAGAGGGATCAAGATGCCGACGCCCCGCCCCGGTGAGCGTCATCGCGCCACACGATAAAGAGCCCCCCTAGCATGTGGCCCTTAGCATAATCCCCGAACCCCAGAGCACACGGCCAGCAGGGAGGACGGCGCGCACCCCTCCAGCAGCTACTCCCATTCCCCGAGCAAGCAGAAACAAGCGCGCTACGCCGCAAAGAAATTCAGCTCCCCAACCCTGGACGACAATGAGAGGCCGACTGCTGCGCAAAGCGACCTTGGAAGAGCTCCAAGCCCAACAACGGGCCGCCCATTGCATCCCGCACAAGCACAGAACAGAGCCTGCGCCACCAACTTCCAAGCCCGAGCGAAGCACCCCCTCAACTCCGACAATTCTCAGCCCCGCGCCTGCAAAAAGTCTGGCGTTCGAGCTTGAACGCCAGGACTTCAAAACCCCCGATGCCAAGCTCCTTAGATTTCTGAGAGAAGGCAAAAGTCTGGCGTTCGAGTCGAACGCCAGGGTTTTTTCCTGTCCACAGGCCGAACGAGTGGCCCCTGCTGCGTCAGTCTTTGGACAGGAAAAACCCCTGGGGTTCGACTCGAGCGCCAGACTTTTGAACAGTCCCAGAAATTGGCCATGGTCGTCGTCGAAGGTTCTCAAATCCTGGCGCTCGAGCTCGAACGCCAGACTTTTTTCAGTCTCAGAACTGAGATTTTCCTGAGACTTGCCGCGCCCCTGCTGGTCACGGCTTAGGCAAATCGGCCCCAAGGCCTGGAGTGCGGGGCAGCACCCTGTGGCTGTCTGCGTGCCTCACGGCGGATCCACGTATCCACCCCGGCGCGAAGAAGCACTGCACGGCCACCCCGTCCGGCCCATATCATGACCAGGCGCGGCGTGCGCCACGCCGCGTGACACCGTCCACGCACCCGCCGCCGCCACACAATGAAGCCGCCGCGCCAGGGGCAACACGGGAGCCGGCGCACCGGTCCAGCACAAAGGCGCCGCTACAGACGCGGCCCGGCGCGTGTCAATCGAGGCCGGCGGAGGTTCGTTGAGTTGGGGGGTGGGCAGCACCCCCCAAAAGTCAACCCTACCGGGGGGCGCGCGCCCGCGTTGTAGTTCTAGCGATTGCGCACACCCTCAGCCCGGTTGGACAGCGCGAGCAAAGTGGAAGGCAGTGGCCTGACCCCAGCGGCCGCGCAGATGCGTCGCGCTGTCGCCATTATTCGCCTAGTAGACTCTACTGAAGTTTTTCCGCCGACGAAACGTTCTAGAAACGCGAGTCATGTGATGTTTTTTTTCGTCAAAAGTGCCGCCTTTTGAGTCAACACCTATGGCAAAAGTTCTACCTTCCTGGAGACAGACAGCATTTCTGGCGTGTGCGTAGTGTGTACTTCGTGAGCCAGCCACACCGCAAAAAAGGTAAGGCGGACCTCAAAAAGTGCGACTTTTAGAATTCGAAAAGCCGCGCTTTTTGATGTGTACCTAGTGAGGACTCTTCACTAAGTACGCCCTTTCTTCATACCCACCAAGCACCCACTATGTACACAATCAAGCGCGCCGCTTTTTTCCAAAAAATGGGACGGATGCTTTTCTTTGGTGGAAGATGCTCGCTGCTTTTTTGAAAAAGCGACACTTTTCAAAAACCACCAAGAAGGACCTTTTTGGGAAAATGCGGCATTTTTGAGTACGTAGCGCCTAATTAGTGGGTACGTAGTGAAGAGCCCTCACTAGTGCGCACGGCACACCTCAAAAAAAGCACGGCGGAGCCCAAAGGGTGCGACTTTTGAAATTCGAAAAGTCACACTCTTTGAGGTCCGCTCTCCATTTTTTTTTTTTTTTGAGTCAGAGAGGCGCCGGCCTGTGCCAATCTATCGACGCAGCCTATCAGGCTTCAGGCGAACACATCCCCAGCCAACGAATCCGGTGAAAATTTGGCTAAAGTTTTCGGGTTTTGACTTTTGAGAAAATCCCGACCGACAGACACCACAACACACCCGCGCCAGCTGATCTGGCTACCGGGGGGCAACAACCGATCTGACACAAAAGACCCACGAAAGACCTCACCGAGCGAACCCGTGCCGGCCTCCGGCAAGCGGTCCCACACACTTCGAGACAGACACCGCAAGAAAAAGCCCGACACAAAGAGCCGGCACCAAACTAACCAGCCCGCGAGGCTCACCGGCGCGGACGTTAAGGCCACGACTCGCGGAGCCAATGAACTGCGACCCCAGCGCCCACTCCAGAACCACACGACGACCCGACCCGCGACACCTCACGGCCTGTTTGTGAACACTAGGACTGCTTAAGTATTTTCACCCTCAAGGTGATGCGTTTTTTTTATATAATTCCCGGCCTGTTTCATTGGTGCAAATCGTGAAGGTTTTGCATGATTCTCATGCGGTTGCGAAGTTGTCAAATGTGTGGACCTTCTTGCTCATATGTAACACGATAAGGATCCACATTATTGGCATAGTGTTCCAGTGCTGTGATCTTTGTCACCATCGGACTGCAATGATTTCCATCACTTTCATGCTGATGATCTTCATACTCATACGACTAGGATCATCATCTTCATCCTCTTGCTCTTCATCTTCTTACTTTATATATTTGCAGAACAGGGGAACTGGATCACGTCCCCCCCTAATCTATGCCCCATCTAATATATGACGCGTAGACTACAATAATAATAGTGCTCATATTTAGTAGATTCTACAACCGGTGGGGGAAACGATACTACAAGAAGCCTGATGCGTGAAATTCTACACTGCTGGATTTTTCGCGAGCTAGAGCCTCAAGACTCCTAGAACACACGATCAAACCATCACACATAACCCGGCAATGAAGAATGTGACTTCTGCTCTGACCAGAGGTGGCCGAAGTCTTCACTTCCTGTAGTTAAAAAGAAATTAGCAGCCAGAGGCACTTTAGTTCTCTATTATTCGTTTCCAATTACCATCAAAGAGCAGATGTATTGAAGTGCGAAGGATGGGATGAAAATTTTTCCAACAAAGGTCTGCTCTGAGAACCACCAATAAAGTGAAAGAAACCAGATCAGCTACATTCCATTCACAATTTTCCTGTATTCGACAGGGTCATCAAGACAAGACTTTATATCCCCAGTCTGGTCGTCCAGACGACACAAAATGAGCCTACATTCCTTCATGTGTTCGACAAGGCAACGCATCACCAGACGTGACAACCAAAGGAGATGAATCGTCATGATGCACAGAAATAACGCCGAGAGAACGAGGCACAACTCCGAACCAGGTGACAGCGAGGCTGTCGGCCGCGAATGAGGAGTCACCATCTTATATGTGGAAATCGGTTTTATGGACAAAAGCTCAACTGAACGATTACAAACCAAGCTCGACAAACAGAATTATAAGAGTCTTCAGCAAAGACCCCTCTGGTTTCTGAGAAGTTCAGCTACCTGCAAACTTTCATGACTACCATCAAATTTTACAAATTCTCATCATCACCAAAATTTACTACTTCGTCTTCAGAGGCACAAGATTCGCCATCTGAAACACAATCTACAATAGGCACCTCATCCAACCCGGCTTTTGCCACTATGGCCATGCCTTTGGTTTGAAGAATATCTAGAGACACATACCTACGCCATGCCTCAGAAGAGGACGACCACGAACCAGCATAAATAATATCAGACACCGTACCACCACAAATAGCTATGGCAGTTGCGCCACCTTTCCTCAAACTATGAGTGCCAAGATCTCCAGAAACTTTAAGAAGATCTCCACAGCGTTTAATCAATCGCAGTGAGTCTAAATGTGTTGCCCTCGGAAAGCACTTTCCACCAGGTTCAACTTTCTGCAAAAACTTCTTCCAAATCACACAATACGGGCAGAAGTCCCGAGCCCAAATTATATTTGAGTCCTTCACCATCAAAGTCGTTGACGACGATGAAGTAGAAGAAGAGGGCGGAAAGCCACTACAGGCGCAAGATCTAGTAACCGTATCACCTTCCAGCTTATTCTTACGCGTCCGAAGACGTAAAGTTAGCGATCTTGATTCATCACAAGCAAACACTGCGGAGTGCGAGGATATCTTGACTTTTTTATCTTTATCATTTGGATTTGCGAGAGCGCGCAGCTCGATCGCTTCATCTCCACATCTAAGCAAGAATATCCAGCACAACGCAAATAAAAATTTGTATTCAACTGGAAGAAAGGCAAGACCCAAGATCTGACTGAACGTCGAGACTGAAGTTGCAGCCTTAGCTCTAGATAAAGGTTGGTTACGCCGAATTCCTCGCGATATTGACGCGGTAAACACGTCGGAAGGAAAGTTCTGCTTTAAAACTTGAGCAAACTTCTTGACAGCAGATCTAGCCACGTTCATAGTCGAAGCACAGTTATAAATAGCCAGGAAGTCTTCGACTTTACTAACCGACAACGGGAACGCCTTTTCTCCTCGAGAAGATACGAGGTTCAAAAAGGCTTTGATGTAGGAGAAGCAAGTCTCCCACTCTTTCACACTTTCGCCTTTCACGAAAGCAGTATTTTTCGCAAGAACTCTCCGCGCCTTTACCGGCCCATAGCTGGCCAGAAGTTTCAATTTGTCATGAGCCGAAACATTAGCGGCGAAAGATTGCTCTTTTTGTGCCACCGCGAGCGCTTTAAACCGAAGAAAAAGCGTCTCGTTGTTTTGCGAAGCTAGAACGTCCTGCGCAGTCAAAGTGCCAAGGCTAGTACTCATCGGCGCAATCGGCACCAAACCTCCTACAACACGAATCCCATGCTTGCCCGAAGGTTGTGAAAATGGTAAACGTCTGAATTCAGAAGATGCACTACCTTCACGGTTAATCGCGCAAATACTTGAAAAATCGATAAAACTGCCGTTACTCGACTCGAGCAATTGTCTACCATGTGACTGGCAAGCAGAAAAGTTACTAGAACTAGAATTGCCACTAGTTATACAACTTCTACCACCTCCAACCTTATTTGACGACAACGTCGAGGAGCAACCATGATTAGACTCCATCTTCACCAAACTTCCTAAATTTTGAGAAAAACTCACATTCGAGAAGTAAAACTTTCAGAGATGATTAAAAAATTTTAAGAAACTGAACTCATGTTATGTCTGAAGTGCTACTAATCTACACTCTTCGAGAGGACAAAATTCGACATCCAAACATTTACGATCATAAGCTTCCAATAAAAACAGACTACTACCAAACGAGTTGCCAGCAATCAATGGTTTCCACCGAAGACGATGTTGAATGAAACGAGACTGAAATACAAGTGGTCACACGATTTCAAGAATCTGGCTCACTCTCCGATCAAACTAAAAGAGGCACATGTAAACGACATCATTCTAGCCGACGTCAAGCTGACCATCAACATACTAACAAACAACAACGATTCGACTTCAGTCATGTAGTGAAATTTTCGCATTCTACTCATTAGCCTCAGCAGCTGAAGCACTTTCTCCACTAAAATCAGCATCAACATCCCATTCGGCCAACGCCTTGTTCGCAAATCCCTTCAGAGATGCTGCTTCCTCCTTCGTCGGAGGCAACGAGTGCCCAAAAGCACAATTCTCGTTCGAACACTTAGCCGGGCGCGTACCCTTGAGGAGCAACCACTTGAAGCAGTAACGTTTCTTATTGGTTGATGTTGTAGAAGCGGAAGCCCGCGGCTTTTGCGGCGATGGCGTATAAGGACCTGGGCGATGAGTCGGGGTAACCAAAGACTTGAGCTTCTTGCCCAATTCGTCACTCAGTTTGACCGTCTTGACACTGAAGCGTAAGGGGGGATTTTTGTTTTGAAAAGAAACCCTTTTTCTTGAAAACAAATGCAACCCATTCAAACACTACAAAACCATACCAATTGACTAGTAGTCTCAAGCTCAGCAGAACAGACACCGTTCCACATAGTTTTCCATGACTTCGACAGACGCCGTCTGGAAGAAATTCCCAATCCGCTCGTAATAGTTCCGTCCCGCAATGGGCATAGCACCAGCCAGGCGCGCAATGTTTCTCTTATAGATGTCAGAGATCACCGACTTGCGGATATGCTTGTCTGCCATCGCAAAAGACTTCAAACTGAAAGCCTGAATAGATTGTAAACAAACGACGTTATAACTTTCATTTCTAATAATGACTAGCTTCAAAGTCATTTAGACTTATTCAGTTTTTGAAAGAAAGAAAAACAGCAACAACATATATATCAAAGAACTACTTCTCAAACTGCTATTACCTGAAATAAATCGGACGTAATGCGATGAGCAAGAAGAACTGCCTGGACGTCAATGCGCCCAGGAAGGCCTAAATCTCCAGGGACTTCGGGATCCGCCGGAATCGGCGGTAAGTATCCGCTTAGAATGATGACAGTGCAAACATCCTTGACCAGAAAGTTGTGAATATCGTCACCATCAGCAGGCAAACGACGCTCATGCAGCGATCCACTCATGCACAGTTTCTCGACTTTATCCACATCCTCCTCGGTGACGCCACTCAGGACGACACCGAAAGAAGTTTGGATAATCTGCTTTGCTGCACGCACTTTCACCTGATCGGCACGATCACGCTGTGCCTCTTGCAACAGATTGTGAAAAGCAGCGCCAACAATCGGTAACTCAGCCATTTTCAACAATACAACTCAACACAAATTTTTAAACAAATTCGGAAATCTCTCGAAGTTAGAATTTCACCTAAAGGAGTTTTCCTATGTCCGTCATCAGCTCAGTCTCTCACCTCGATCGTGAGCACCAGGCCAAGTTACTACCCAAGAGTGAACACACCAAAATCAATGCTGCAATAGCCAATCTTGATCAAACAGAGCTACAACTTCAGTCCGCTCTTATGCTAGTATTACCAGAGTCCAAAACTTTAGTCGCAACTTCCGACACTATTGGCAATAATGGTCTCGCTATGTTCAACGTCAAGTTTCAAAAATTTATACAAAAAAACTAAGAGATCTCCTTCAATTCTATCTTCTGCACAATCAAAATCTTTGAGAAACTGCTCGCGCAGCCCTTCCTTTGTCGGGAGATCTGCTATGTTGAACTCGGAAGGAATTCTCCCAACAAGTGGAGAAATGCCTGCCTTTGTACATTTGGACCAAAAGTAAAATGCTGTCAAAGCCATATGTCCACGACCGCTATTCATTTTATGCAAAGTTCCTTCCGCACTAGAGTCATCGATCAGAAATTCACACTTTGTGCCCTCAAGCACACGAGACCAAACATATGAACATACTAACGGAGCCACCCCTTCAAGAAAATTAATAGGAAGCCTAGAAATAGAATCGCGCAATTCGTTCTGAAACAACCTAATACGCCAGAACCGCACACGACCAAGTGACTTTTTCTCGGCCGATACGTCCCACAAATCAATGAGAACACCAGCTATCACTCCCGACTTCTTCCGCCAACTTGCATCCGAATAGACCAAATACCTAATTGGCGCTACTGACAGTACTCGAGGCGGCATTGCCAAAAGCATTTCTTTACAAGCTTGAAGACTAAGCTTCAAACAACGAGTTAATGAAAAATTTTTGTGCTCTTGAAACATCCTAACCATAATTGGCCTAATGAGGGGACGCAGACGCCTTTCTGCTAAAGCGCAGAATGCAAAGGACAACTTTCCATACAACGACGCCGCCTCATCAGGCAAAAGTACTTCCCTACTCAGCACACTGTTAATCAAACCAATATACTGCTCGGCACGTTCTGGCGCAATTGACACAGACGGCCTACCTACAAGGGAAAAGACCAAACCAAGAAGCGTGATCCTCAACCCAGAAACATCTATCTTATCCTCTCTAAAACTAAAAACCAACCTAGATAACAAAGAACAAATAGCATCTGCCGCCGCTCGGCCTGAACCTGCTTTCACAAATGCACGATAATCGTCGATAAAGACGCTATTCGGGATCTTAAACAAACCCCTAACTATCCTAGAAATACATCGCGCAATTCGTACCCAAACAGCCACCGAGTGGGTATTTCCAAGCAATAATGTGTTACCCCTAAAAGCAACCCACCTCTGTGGTTCTTCAGTGCACCAAACCGCTATAAAATTGGCGTACAACTGATCGAAACGAATGCCGATGCTTTTGTATGCTTTCTCCACGTCGATAACTATTCCATCTATATTGCGCATCGCTTGTTGTACTAAATCATGTCATCGGGGTTAAAACCACCCAGCAACAAGTCGCTGATTCTAAAGAATTCCTCGCTAGTATCAAAATCAGCATGCCTACGCTTTTTCGAGTTTACAAAAAAAGAACTCGCCAATTCTCTAGATAAATGCGGAGCCACTTGCAGCCTGGCCGTCGCAGTTGCGATAGCTAGCGCCTCAATTGGGGATGGTAACGCCACGGCTCTATCCAAATTACAGCTAAAATTGAAAAAATCCTAGCATCGTCGATCATTCTATGTTCGCCACGTTGAAAAACGGCAAACCTTGGCACAAGAAACTGCGCAGAACTATTCAATTCGGACAACTCAAACGGTCCTTCCAACATACCTTCGCTCCTTTCTACAATTGAAGTATCCCAAATTTTTACCAAAACATCTTGGTCAATATGCCGCGGCTTCGGCCTATCCTTAAACGTTTGAACCTTACATCTACGAGTAATGGCACGCTCTAAGACGTCATCAGCCTCTTTCGCCCGCCTAACAGACCAACTCCTAGGGCAAAACACTTGCCCATCACAAGTTCCGCCATTCAATACGGACTCCCACACTGTCGGATCATCCTCCTCATGAAAGAGATGACTCAACTTTCGCAATAGTGCAATACTCTTCCACTCAGTTACCCTATGATTGTCACGAGGAAAAAAGGAACAATCATCCTTATTACTAGCTGGCGCATACGATTCTGACTCTAATTCGTCAAGAATCCGCATTCCTTCCTCAATCGAGGAACTAGTAGGAAGATGCTGTAGCACAAGCCGAAGACTCTCCTCCTCAATGATATTACCAGAAGAACGACTCCTAGCATTATCCGCATCTACTAAGATCCGGTCGACGAACTCGCTCGAATCCTTCGTCCTTCTCTTTTCGGCATTTCTAGCCGCCTTGGCTGCAGCTCTGGCAGCCGCGTTACCGCTACTAATCGCGGACTCCATGTTGAACCAATCACACTAGCTATCAAGCCAACTACCCTATAGTATTTCACTACAAAATTAGAGCTAAGCTCCCAATTTTTGCAAGCAATTGCCTCGCACAACCTTCACAATTTCCACTTTGCTTTTCTCCATTTTCCCACAGCACTCGTCTCAACAAGAAAACTCGCACCCTCAACAGCGCCGGAAATAGCGGAATTTTGTAGGACCATTCACCAGAACACTAAATTACGAAGCCACTAGGCCGCATTCGAACATACTTTGAGCTAACAATTATTGATTACTCAAATTTTTATAATATGTAAAAACAATGCTCTCCAAACAGAGCAACCACTTCAAGAATGATCCTAATCCTTCCGGCCACCGGTGCGAGTAAGGGTAACAATTTGCCGAAGCAAATTGTATGGAAGGAAAATGTGCTCTCATTCTCAGATTACGGAAAATTTTTGGAAGTAGGAGGAAGCAAGTGACTGACAGTAGGTAGTTAACTAGCTAGTTTAATTGGCTGAAGTCCCCATCCGCCCCTGCCCCGCCTCCAGAGTAGGTCGGTCTTTCCCCAAGACCAACCCACTCACCTGAACCACCCTGCCCCGCAGCCTCCCCCGCAGCTTCGATGATGTGATTCTGCTCTGGATAGTCTGTTTTCTTTGGGTGTGGCACCACCTCGCAACGTCATAAACGTGTACGATTTGCGCACTGGGTTGGCTGATGGCAGACCAAGAACTTCCTGCTGGTCAGCTCTGGTCTGAAGTAGAAGATGCTCGCTGACGATATGTCAGAACCAACAATGAGGACGCTGAGACACACCGCAAGTTTCTCAGGCTGATGCTTCTGCTTGTGTCTGAGCTTGAGAGATGGATAGAGTGCTGCGGAGTCCCGCTATAGCAGACTGGTGTTCTCTCGTTGGCACGTCGTAGATCTACTTGTGACCACTCTCCTCGGTCGTTCTCGTTGTGCACAAAGATCAGCTGAGAGACTCAGACCTTTGGTTGAGGAGCTTGCTCGTCGTCATCCTTCTGGCATGCGCATACTGTGCCGCGCGTGGCTTCTTCTCGTGCATCACCGATCCACATCTTGCCATAGTAGAACTCGAACGAGGAAGGTACTGCTGAGCGAGAAGCAAGAGAAAACAACATGTCCACCGACGAGTTTCGCAATTACACTGTGCAGCAGAAGAAGTCTGCTGCTCTATCAGCGAACAACATCCTCCTGAAATTGGCCGGATACTTGCCAAAAGCTCTGCGGGTGGCGCTTGTCGCTACCCTACAAGAGGCTGATAAGATAGACAGTGACGAGTTGCCGCTGGGAAAGACAGCGTTCGGAGCGGCTGTGACGAAAGGTACTACTTCGATTATTGTTGTCACATCTTCTTTCTGATTTAGAGGTAGGCCTGGGCATTGCCATTGGTATGCTTCTCGTGATGAGTGTTCTTCTTGTTAGCCGTCCCGCATGTTCGTCAGCTACTTCACCAGAAAAATTCCTCCACAGTCACCACTACCAACCCTTCGCAACAATATCATCGTGCTCAAACTTCTACTTCCAGATGGTTGGGAGGCGATTGCACCGGTCCACCATGCGCGTTGGCTGGCACGAAACACGTCCTGGAGCTTTTCGGACTGTCAGCGGGTGGTGCCGACTGGCTCTGCTGCTTGGGCGATCTACCAGTGCTTGGGCATGAAAAAGAAGCACGTAGTCTTTAGATTTTTTAGATTATTTAGATTTCGGATAGTGAGGCTCTTGCCTGAGTAGACTTTCAAAGAACTTCGTACTTTTGTCAATGGGAGCACCATATTACCTCTTCCTTGTGGTAAGTTCCATAATTTTGCGTCTTCATCTTCCTTCTCGTACCTCTACAGCCTCCTGCCGGTTCGAATAAGCAAAGCCTGCCGGATGAGACATCGTGCGACTCTGAGGTTGCGTACTGGTGCAAACAACACCGTAACCCGGAGGCTGTGTTGCAGGCAACAGCCGAGTACATCAACTTCGGGACCAAGATCCCGAATGAGGTCATGTACTGGTATGAGGTGCAGCGCAAGCGCAGTGAGAACGAGCACCTCAAGGCCCTGAAGAACGACACGGAGGCTGCCGCTGGAGCTTGGGTATTTAGATTTCAGTGATGTGCTTTAGATGAAATTCCTTGTCAATGTGAAGACCTGACGTTAGAAGTGGCACCTTTCTAGCATAAGAAACAGAGATGACGACCATGTGAAAGATTCCGATCGAGACGAGACTGCATCTACAATTAAGTTCTTGCGTCGCTTAAGTTTCCCTTTCTCCTTCACCTACAGGGATCAACGACAACTCCTATGCCGGTGTTTGGAGCCAGCGTTCCGAATATTCGCAGTCGCTCTCGTGAGCGTGGTGGGCCTTCGTCTCCGCTCGACGAGCCGATGCCGCCCACCACCCTGTTCAAGAACGAGAAGGACGCAAGCATGGGCGCGCAGGTGAAGAATCCGCCCTTGCAGCGCAAGATCATCGAAAAGCAGGCCACATGCAGCCGAAGCGAAGTGGTAACAACTGAGCAGGGAAGCGTCCTCATCATGTACATGTCGGATGGCAGCACGCGAACCACGGTCCTCAGCAGCGTGCCTACAGCTGCTGTCCCGGCCGCCGCCACTGAGTCCATCGACGAGCAGGATTCCACCGTAACTGGTGGGGAGAAGTCGCACAGTGCAGGTGGCTGTTCGTCCATCGAGAAGTCCGACCAGGAGTCCGGTCCTCAGTCGTCTGATCCTCCTGCACCAGAGGCCAAGTCGGTGTCTGGTGGTGAGACAAAGGATGACATCAATCCGCCTGCTGAGGAAATCGAGGCTGCACAAGGCGGTCCGGAAGTGGTTGGAGAGGAGGCCAAGCCGTCCACCAAGAAAGGCAACCCGAAGGCCAAAGTGAAGCCAGCTGAGCGTGCCAAACGACAAGCACGCAAGAAGAAGAACGAGTCCGCTGAAGCAGCCGGCTCTGCTGCTGCGCCCCCTGATGCTGACGCAGCAGACCACACTGCTGACAAGGACAAGATCGATGCGGATTTTGTCGCGGCTTTCGGTCAACAGTGAGAAGAGGACGCTGTGGGGACCATGATGGAAGTCGGGGGATGAAGATTGATGTTATTTTTTTACTAGGTCGCAACGGGGCATGAAGTAGCAAAGACCTACAGAATTGCGTTACTTTTCACCAATATGAGCGAGAAGATGAAACCCCCATCATTTCGTAGATTACCACCTTGATTTTGAGACAGCACCATGACGATAATGAAAGCAATGAGCTACGTACTGAGTTACAACATCGTCGACCTTTCTTCGGTAAGTGCATGCTTCTACTCAGACGCGCACTCATTTTCTGTACCCCTTTTCATTCTCCTCTGGCTAGTCCAGTCCCCTTGTCCCTTTGGTCGAATTTCATCGACGGTTCTCGGGTTTTTCATGCTTATCATCACCCATTTTTGCCCCTTTTGTGAACTATTGGAAAGTCTTCAAACCTTTGAAGCAAAGCGTCTACAGACTTGACCAAACTCATACGAACGTCTCAACTGTGGCCGGCCTTCTATTTCCCCATAAGATGAAGCAGCAGCTTGCTATACTCGTGCGACTGCTCGACTCGCGGCCTCTGTTTCGAGAACTCGCAACTTCCTTCTTCGGATGGCAGTCGTGTGTCGCTGTCTGGGTGGTTTTGATGAGTTGTGAGAGATGAGAGGGAGATGAAGTTGCTCGAGCAAGCGCGCCCCGTCAGTATGTGCGTTAGCTCTAAAACTGAAAAAGAAACAGAAACGAACGTCATGAAAACTGGCCACACAATAAAGACGACGATGATGAAAAAAGCAAGAAGCTACCCATAGTCTTGATATAATGCGATGGCTGTCTGTGCTAAGAAATGACTTGAAAGGATAAGCAACAACTTAAATCGCCATGACTTCCCGGCAGAACGAAGCTGCAGACCATGCCGATAATAACTTCGAGTTTATGGACAACGGGCGGCTTAGTGTGCGCAGATTCTTGCCCACACGAAAGCGGCAAAACTGGAAGCGACAGCTCCAGAAGCCGTATGAGAGATGGAGGATCGCAAATAATATCCCACTAGGGAACTACGCCCCAGAGCAGGGACTTGTCACGGATGGTTTCGGATTGGAGGCGGTAACATTGGGTTGCATTTTTTCAGATATGACGCGAACGTGACCCCTCACCTTGTCGTAGATGTAGCACTCACCTCCTTTCTTCGGAAAAGTCACACCTCTGCTACCCTTCGCTAAATCATATAGTCCTCCCGGGTAGTTCGGTGTTCAACACGAAAAACCCTTCACACAAAACGCAGGCGCGGTTCTTGCGGTGGATGCAACATTATGGGGATTTCCCGATTCGTATCCATAAGATATGCGCCACGTTAAACCTGCCTGTCTCTGCGATAGACGACAACGTAGAGGAATTTGCGCAGGCATTTGAAGAGAAACACACAGGGGACGGGGTCACGGATTATTTTATGCTGGTATCTATTTATGCTCGCGCCTTCATTCCTTCGTTGTGGTTCATCTTCTATCACTAGAGCCAGGCGCAAGCTCGGCTCTTGTCTTATTCGAATGGCAGAGAACTCAACTCCCTTGCAAGGCTTACGAGATTGACTGTGGGCACAAGTAGCGCCTTGTCAGAGATTCAGCTGGCGCTTCTGTGTGCACTTTCCCCCTCGTTCACCACTACAGAAGCGCCTCGTGTGCGGTTTGCTGAACCTTGGCTTCTTGTTGGGTCACCTCATAGGCTACTGCAAGCTGGGATATGGCCGCGCGGATCTTGACGGTTTAACATGGGGGAAAACGCTGAGTATCCAGATGGATGGCAGCACCAAGGGAAAAGAAAAAAAGCAAGCGTATCAGGTGCTCTAGTGCTTTGATATACAGCTACTGCGTTTGCTAAATGTGTCTGGTTGGGGGTATTCTTTGCAGCTTGTTTCTTCAGGTGTCAAAGGCGGCGGCTATCATGGGCAAAACGCCAGCAAGCCGCCCGCCGTTTTCTGTCATGTTTTCTGCTTAGATGGATTACCAACACCGACCCCACAGGTCTACGCTCAAGCCGTGGAGCCAGGTGGAGACGGAGAATTGGTCACATACATGCACCCGATTCCCCTGCAGAGGCCCTATGTCCCTGTGGGAGGAAGCGTCGCAGAGAAAGACAAAAAATACGCCTCATCTCTTCCGAAAGTGCGGGCGCTTTTTGCGTTGTTGTACCACCTCGGTGGCATGTTGCTCCTGTCTACTTTCCGGCAGCCACTCGTCGACACGGTTGCGGCTGTTCTGGTCTTAGATTCAGACCAAGAAGAGTCGGAGTTTCGCTGTAACATGGCCGTCGGATTCACTTTTTTGTGTGTTTGCCGGATGGGGCTGCGTCACCGAATAAGCAACCACCTGAACAAAGAGCCAGCCTTGTCGCGGCTCCTATCAGCCTTGCGGGATTTTACAGGCGGCAATCTTGCACGTGAGTCATTGCGGGGCGCTTATGAGCGCGCAAGAGCAGAGCTGATCGAATTGGCGAGGTCTGGGGAGTTGGTCGATCCGGACGTTGAGCGTGAGACAGGTCTCTCGACTCTGGAAGCGCTGGAGAGAGGTACCGGACTGCTTCTTGGTGCATGTAGCTGGAAGGTTTCGTCCCGTTTTGGATCAAAAATCTCACTTTTCAAATAGAAATCGACACTTTTGGGACTCTTCTGGAGCGTCATACTATGGGGGGAAGCGTCCTGGCGTTGGCTGTTTTCTGCCGTTCTCAACTCCGTGTCTTCGCCTCTTCGGTTGGGCTCGCCGATCTGGAGTTGAGAACGCTCAAAGCGGCAAGCGGCTGAGAGCTTTGCCCCACGGTATGGCCAAAAAATCTCACTTTTTTGCATGTTTCGAGGGCTGCCCTCATCATTCAGTGCGGGTTGGCGGCAGGTGTCGCCTTCGGCTGCCGTACCGTGCGGGCCCAGCGTTCTCAACTCGATTTCTTTGCCGTCAATTTCGTCGAGAGCCAAGGGCCCAAGCCACGGGACTTGCAGATCGAAGCGCGCAGCCTTCGAGACATGTGCCAACTTCTTGCCAAGTTATTCACTTAAACCAACACACAGCGTCGCACTTGACCTCGATGGTCCGGACTCGGTGGTTTGGTGCGTGTTATGTGGCGGCGTGGGTGCTGATTTGGAAGTCGACGGTTCTGCTAGTCTTGCGCCATTTAGCTGGCAAGAGGGTGCTGCGGCTCTATGTAGATCCGGCGGAGAGCGCAGCATTTGAAGCAGTGGGAATTGAGGGCGCTGGTGTGTTTGATGTTGATGCTGATGAGGTTTTTGCTGCGCCACCTGCTGACATCGATGACGGCCCACTTCCTGCGGCGCCACAAGATGAGCCGGCGGCCCCAGTGAGAGAACAAGCACAAGGAAACGACGGAGACGCGGGACAACCTAGGAGAAGGGCGGCATCTAATGCGGCGCCGGATTCTGAGTATGTAGGACAGAAGAGAAAAGTCACAGAGCTCAAAGAGGCGCTGGAGGCAATCAACATGGACGACGTGCGGCATTACTTGCGGGTGGCGCAGTATTTGTGGCGGTTCCACCAGTTGCACTTGCAGGTAACATTTGGCCTCCAGGCTGAAGACATGGACAAACAAGAGAGAGACAAGATCGCGGAGACATTCGAGTCGTTGTCGCCTGAGCTGGGGCCTTACGTGTTCCTCTTTCAGGTTGCCCTGGAGCTGCCTAGCATCTTGCGGACCGCAGTGCAGAACGCGGGGCTGGAGATCTGGAACGAGTGCGAGTTTTTCCGGTTCATGAGATTCAGCACGACCACACTGCGCCACTACGTGTATGAAAAGTATGACCCGTGCTTCGGTCTCTGGTGTTCGCTTTTTTACCGCAAAACGCTACCAAATCCAGAGGCTTTAAAGCGGGAAAGCTTTGAAAAGCTGCGGCCACTGTCGAGATTTGCCAAGCAAATGCTGCACTATTTCACCAAAGGCCTCCACGACGTGGCAGAGACTGTCATCCAGAACATCGTAATCAGTGGCGCTACTTCAGACTCAGAGGGCGAATCGCATTGGCGTTACGTGAGTTTGGCTGTCTCTGCTATCCGTAAACTTGCGGGGAGGTTCCGGCTCTCGCATATGCGACACGCTTGGCAGAATCGTCTCGACTTGTTCAAAGAGGTCCCTTCTTGTTTTGGTCTAAGTGGTGAGAAAAGAGTAAGGTTGCCGCGTGCAATGCCGTCCATTTTGACCGCGCAAGACCGTGAGGCATTTTTGTCAGACATGAACGAAGAGCAGAAAAATGAGCCAGACAGCCTGAAGCAGTTCAAGTCGTTGGAGGATCTGGCGAGCAATGTGGACCTCTCTGATGAAGCTGAAAAGCTGCAGGACGAAGTGCTGAAAAAAGTCCGCGACCCGACTCTGTGCGCGCATCCAGAGACGTACTTCATCGCAGCGCTGGAGATTGCGTGCTACATGCAAATGGCCTCGGCTTTCGACTACAGTCGATTCGCCGACATCGCCCTCCTCGGCGTCATCGTTGCGCAATTTCTCGGGCTTACTACCCGGGTGAAGAGCAGCCGGCCTGTTGTTCTGATGGACCAGCACCAGAAGGAGCGAACCTGCCTCGTGACTGACATCGTCCGCGGCATGTACATTGGGCTGGGCCTCAAATTGTCCACAGATGGGAAGTCCTACTACTTGGATGCGGAGACCACTACTGTCTGCTTTGGAATGGTCGCCCATTGTTGGTTTATGAGCGAATACCAGTGGAAGTTTGGGCGTGGGCTGGTGTCCTTTAGTACGGACTGCAACTGGAAGCCGCTCTTTCAGACGCTTCGCAACTGTGCCAACTCAGTGCCATACCAGAACCTCAAGTGCTTGCTCGAACTTCTGACGGGTCGCATCCTCCCAGCGGAGTTCAACGCACCAGAGCAACTCCTCCGCGAGTGTGTCGACCAGGTCCTTGCATTTGACGACGCCGCCGGTGCGCGTGAGACGTGCAAGAGACTACTCAGGGGGCAGTGGGTTGTGGAAGGATCGCTGGAGCCACAGATAAAGCGCGCCAGGTCTGCCGCGTCCTCTGGCGCTGTTGGAAGACCAGCAGGCGTGGAAGTAGACGAAGAGACAGAATTGCAGAGGGCATACCTTGGCCGCACATCAAACGACACCGAGTGGCACTTCTATTGCCGTGGCTGTGGTCGCTTCGTATGCAAGGCGATGAAGACCGAGCGCAGGAAGGCGGCGCTCGGGAAGGCGCTTTACCTCAAGTGGCCACAAGATCAAGAGTTCCGCAAAGAAGACACCCCACACGCGTGCAAAAAGTGGCCGGGAGAATTGCTGGCGATGGACTGCATCGAGCAGTTCGGTTGGCGTGCGACTGCTGAAAGCATCCACGGCAGAACATGCGCGGCATCCAAGGTCGAGGTCACTCCATTCATGAAGCCAGCCAGCGACGGCCTCAGTTAGGGGCGCTTTTGCGCTTGGGGTTTGCGTTGCGACTGAGTCCATCTAGTTCTTGCTGAGGGGGCATCGGGTAGGCATCCAGGGGCGAAGGGAGATAGCGTGACGCTATTTCTCTCGGTTCAAACACTCTACTTTCTGCGATACATTCATCCCCCAACCATGGGGGGCCACTTCTGATTCAAATAGGTCTGCGTCGCTAGCTTTTTACAAATTCCAACGGTTTACTCAACAACTTTGCACTCCTCTACAGTTCTTGAATTATGTGCCTACTGCGTGCCATCTTGGATGTTTTCAAATCTATCTTCGACAGACGTCGCCACCAAGTAGTTTCTTTATGGTTCCACCTCGATCATGTTCTGCTTGGGTTCTACTGCTTTGGCGGTGCCGCAGCAGATATATGGCCAGACTTCTTTGCATCAAGGTCATCAATGAAATTAAATCTGTGAAGCGCTACTTGTGATCGAACTTAGCAGCAGCAGCATGCTGTCGGCTTGTCAGACGTTTTAGAATATGCTTCGTGCTGTCCTTCAAGGTTGTCAGTTTGGGAAGCTCGTCAACATCTACAGTGGCTCAATGGTCTGAATTTCAATGCTTATGCTGCTCCATCGAGCGAGGGCGCGACGGTGTGGTCGTAGCGTGTGACATTTCAGAAAAGTTCAACAGTGAGGTGACGGCACTCAGATGTGGCCGCCAGCGTGCGCCCACACTCCCATGATCAGCGTCGAAAATTGTGGCCCTTCAGTTCAGAGAGCTGCACCTGGGGGGTGATGATCAATATTCTGTGGAGGTGTTTGATAGATCTGCTAATGATTGAGACAGCGATCAGGAGACTGAAGCTCTAACACAGCCAAGAGCTAAATTATTGAAGTCATCACTTACCTGATGCCTGGCGCCGGATCCAAGCAAAGCCATAGCTCAAAATCTAGTCGAAAATAGAATCTTTCAGGCGTCTGCATTCCTCAGCTCCTTGGTCCCAATTTTGCAAGTATTTCGCTGCCCAGCAGCTCCTTGGATTTTTGACATAGCTCACACCAGATGGATAAAGGCACAGAGATCTGGCCCACTTTTCCTCGCTGTTTGTGGATTGACTTGATCGATGACGTTCTTCTATGAATTAAATCGGACGACGGTGTTCTTTTGTAGCTAGCTCTATTGTTCTCAGTACTAGTGTGTTCAAATCTAAGCAAGTTGCTCAATATCTCAGGAAGGGGGATGGTGGTAGTTGATGACAACACTGTGTAGAAGGGTAAGAAATGATCACGAAGATGGCACCTGTTTTTTGACGCTCTGCCAGGGGCGTAGCCTTCTTGTTGTAGCTGCAAAACGGGGAGGAAGTAAGTGGCTGCAAGGACGTGCTCTGGCCCTTCGTCTTGTCTGACATGCACCAGCAAGCAGTCGATCTCGACCTTGCTAAACCCTTGGCGGTTCTTCCTGAATAAGGAGATGGTTTTGCGTCATCATTGCAACAAAAAGAAGACATTTCTGGCGGCAGTCTTGTGGTGTGAGGTATTAACTTGTATCAACTGAGTAGCATAGTCGTGTCCTGTGCCTCAGCCTAGGGGCATCACACACGGGGACTCAGATAATTTGATTAGTCTCATGCTACAGCTAGACCCAACATAGTGGCACCATCCTAAGAGTCTAGCATTACCTTTGCGTGCTCACCCATCCGCAGTACGCTTCTCCCTTTCTGTCACGCTTGATTTTTAGGACGCGCTCCTGACATCGTACCTTTTTGCCTCCTCGAAGAGTGAGCACACCGTCAACAACCCCAAAGCCCGCCGGATCGACTGCGTACTGCCATCCAAGCCGCCTCACTGCCGAGGTAAACTGCGTGCGAGCCCGCGCTTCCACATACTGGGCGGTGGTTGTTGCTGCTGCCTCGGTGACTGCCCGCAGGCTGAATGTCGGGCTGTCGCGCCATAGCTCTTGAAGCTTCTGGGCCAAGTCTTCAAACTTCGCCCAACGGGAAGGGTCTGATAGTCTGGCGTCTTCCCATCTGTAGTGCTTGTTCACCGTGAAGTACAGCGCGCTTCTCTTCCTCTTTGTTAGCCCAACTACTACGGTGTTGTGGTATTCGTTTCGCTTTTTCTTGACGCAGTGCTTGACTGCTTTCAGCCACTGGCTTGCTGGAAGCTCACTGCCTTTGACTTGGATGAGCAAATAGCAGCGGCGGTTCTTAGGTGTAGACCTAGGACAAATGGCCAAATCTGCAACGAACTCCGCCGTGTCTTCAATGATGAAATGGGGGGCAAGGATTGCTTTAAGTTTGCCGACGCTCCATGCTTCTATGACTCTAGGACGTGTGCCCATGGTGGTGCTTTTCGATAGGCTAAAAAACGACTCTTCTCAAATTTGCTAAATGTATAAGCTCTAGTGCAGTTCGGAAGCCTGTCGTTTATCGAAGTGATTGGGTTTTTAGTGCTAAAGTGTCACAGTTATCGAAGTTACATAGATCTCGCTACTTTCCCATAAGATTCGCGGTCTTCTCGTTGTGGATCTTCTATCCTTGTAGAACAGTGCCATCGTGGACCTTGATCTCCCTCTTCAGGTAAAGCTGCGAACTTTCTGGACTACCATTCCTGGGCGCGATCTTGCATTATTTGCCATGGAAATTGTGGATTTTTATGCCGGTCGTCGACCGGTTGCGAGGTGGTGCCACAGAAGTAGAAAACGACGATCCAAGCTGCAGAATCACATCATCTCCGCTCAAGCGCCGCCCCTCCGCCTGCAGATCCCTGGCTGCCCATGACCCAGCACCCCCTTCCCCGCCTGTGCCCCTACTCCAACCCAATTCACCCTGCGCCCAACCTTTTAAAATAGCTAGTTAAAGTAGGTAGCGCGAGATGATTTACATGGGTGGATCGAAAAAATTTTCGCTGATTTGATAATGAGAAGGGTTTTTTGTTCCATAAATTGCTGACGAGCCTCACAGCGCTTAGTAGCAGAAGAAAAGGGAGAGGAGGGTGGGATTTTTTATAAAAGGAAATCTTATTACAACGCAAAAAAGCCTTACAACAGGCAAAGACTCCACGAAGGGAGAAAAACAAGAGAGCTTCTATAGGGTCTTTACACTCTCGGCCCAGATAGCACAGATTTAGGATTTTCTCCTGAAGTGGTTGCTGTTCTTCTAAATATGAGCGCGTTGTTCGCTAGCGAAAACGCCACTCATATTTAGTAGATTCTACAACCGGTGGGGGAAACGATACTACAAGAAGCCTGATGCATGAAGTTCTACACTGCTGGATTTTTCGCGAGCTAGAGCCTCAAGACTCCTAGAACACACGATCAAACCATCACACATAGAAAAGCACCAAAGGCCACAAGTACACCCGGCAAAGCGCAAGCTCGCCTTCGAACCCCACGATCAAGAAGGCGCCACAAGTGGGCCAAAGCGTGCGACAACAAACACAGAAACAACCAAACACATGTACTGTCACAAATCGGAATCACGATTGCAGACATACATGTTTCAAACCTAAGATCGGAAGCGCGATCTTAGGTGAAGCATAAACACGAAGAAGGCTATCGTATCGGAAGCGCGATTCATAGCCTATCTTGGTGCCAACATCCACAACAAAGAAGAACGAAGACCGGAAGCGCGATCTTTGTCCATTCTTTGGTTATCAAGCCAACCTTAGGTCAACCGCCTGACCTAAGTTGGTCTGCGACAACGACACCAAACCCCAAGGCTCGGTGGACGAGTCCAATAGCCCAAACGAGAAGAGCCTAGGTCGGAAGCGCGACCTAAGCTCCGAATGCAGCGACAGTTTCATGATCGGAAGCGCGATCAGAAATTCGCAAAATTAAACAAAAGACAAGCACGCTCTGGGAGACCAAAGGTGCAGTAATGCCTTCCAAAAGACAAGAGAGCGTAGGTCGGAAGCGCGACCTCAGCTCCAAATGCAGCAGCAATTTCGAAATCGGAAGCGCGATCAGAAATTCGCAAAACAAACCAAGGCACAAGCACGGTCTAACAGACCGTACGTGCGTAAGTGCCTTAACACAGACATAAGAGCCTAGGTCGGAAGCGCGACCTAAGCTCCGAGTGCAGCGAAAATTTCGTGATCGGAAGCGCGATCAGAAATTCGCAAAGAAAACAAAAGACAAGCACGGTCTAAGAGACCAAAGTGCAACAGTGCCTTACAAAAGGCAGAAGAGCGTCGGTCGGAAACGCGACCTAAGCTCCGAATTCAGCGAAAATTCATGATCGGAAGCGCGATCAGAAATTCGCAAATTCGAACAAAGAAACAAACAAGAATGGTCAAAGGACCAACGCAAAAAAGCCTTACAACAGGCAAAGACTCCACGAAGGGAGAAAAACAAGAGAGCTTCTATAGGGTCTTTACACTCTCGGCCCAGATAGCACAGATTTAGGATTTTCTCCTGAAGTGGTTGCTGTTCTTCTAAATATGAACGCGTTGCTCGCTAGCGAAAACGCCAGTTGCAAGCTCGACTATATTCCAGCGAATGAATATAATACGGAAAAAACACGACGCACGCTATGTATGACTGAAGACGAATAATTTTTGTTGCACAGTATTAGAAACGTAGGCTATGCATTTCTACGTAGCCAAGTATAAGACTTAGAGATCTTCTCCAGAGTCTTCTTCAGCAACATTCTCAGTGCTGTTTCGTTCTTCTCCGTTTTCCTCAGGGGCAGCGGCTGCTTCCGCCGGTGCTGCCTCTGCTGGTGCTGCTTCTCCCTTTTTTCTGGCTTTCTTCAGCGGCGGCCCTTTTGCTCCGCCGTCTTCTAGTTTACCTTTCCCCTTTTTACCTTTGCTCTTGCCGCCTTTGTGCGGCTGCTGCGCCGCTTGCTTCCCCTTTCCTTTGTGGTAGCTGCTGCTGTTCTTCGCCGCCGGACTACTACTACTACTACTGGAACTACTACTAGAAGAAAGAGTCTGCCCCCCAGGTGCCATTTTGTGGGACACCCGTGTCGACGTTGGACAGGCTTGAACGAGGTTGGTTGTATTCTCAATAACTCCCATGGATCCAACGGCACCCAAGTTACTCACCGTCTCCCGAAAGTAAGCCAAACGTAGAAAACAATTGCGGAAGAATGCGCTTCCTTCTTTCCTCATTTTCCTTGCCCGGTCCCAGTACTCAGTCTGCATAGCTAGACCCATACCCGAGCACTGTCGACTGTAGTGAGAGTTCATGTTCAGACCGTTGCTGGATATCCACTCCCTCCAAGCATTCTCCTCTTGGACAAGCATGCACGATAGGCATAGTTGGAACGCTTTTGCATAGTCGCCGCCCGAGCTACATCCTTTCAAAGTTGCGACGTGTCGCCCAATGATCTCATAGAAGATGTGACTCCTTACTCCGAGACCAGCTGGAAAAGCAGGCGAAGGGGGTCCTGTAGCAAGTGACACCCCGCTACCTCGGATTGCTGGCGTCAAAGATTGGCGCCAAGCTTCGGCCCCTTGTAGTCGTTGAGGCTCCTTCGGGACGATTACTCTCGCGAAGCCCGACGCTTTGTTTTTGTTTTTGGGTAGTTGTGGTCTATATCTATAATGTTAGATAATTACAAAGCACAGCGGTAAACTACTGAAGAAATACTATACGCGCACTAAATTAAATATTTATGACTAGAACCCAGCTAGAAAAAGACGAAAAAAAATTTTCGAAACAGTAAACAAGAATACGCATGAAAATCCGCTAACGTTTAACGAACTTGAAAAGTGCAAGTATAAATACGCACGAGATCCGACAACGAACCTCAATGAGAAAAAAGCTCACTTTTTGGGTTTTGTTCCTGCGATTTTATGGCATAGACTCACAAGCGCTGGCTTATTAAGTGCCTTTGTGAAGATGTCTGCCTTTTGTTCGTCTGTGGGGCAGCAGTATAGATCTAATTCCCCTTCTCCGACAACTTGGCGGATCCAGAGCAATTTAAGACCCACACGCTTGACCCGACGAACTTCTGGCGATTCGCCGACCGCTTTCGCGCTTCGGTTGTCGATCATTAAAGGAATTGGAGCTAGAGACTTTTTCAAACGGCCACGTGGATCCGTCAGCTTTGATTGTCGGCCATTGCCTAGATTTTCAAGGGATTCCTGAAGTAGTCCCCGGAGGTAAACTGCCTCCCGCGCGATTTCAGTCGCGGCTATAAGCTCCGCTTCTGTCGTTGATAATGCTACGACAGGCGGCTTTTTACTTCGCCACGCGATAGGCGTGCGCTTGGTTTGGCCTATTTCGGCGAGACCTCCGCTGACCGATCTACGGGTCTTTTTACATGTTCCCCAGTCAGCATCTGACCAAGCTTTTGGAGTTAAGTCACCGTCGCGGCCATCAATGTCTAAGGCGAAGCTCCGCGTCTTGCGGAGATATTAGAGCCCCCCCAGCGGTTGCGTTTCACGTTTTAACTCCTACCCTAACTCGGATTAAACTCCTGGCACATGCTCAGGCTCGTTTCTGCTGTTAAGGGGGTCAGCTTTTAAGCCTAAAAA